ATTAGAAAATAAAAACTTCAAATAACATTAAAAAAAATCCGCAATTCAAGTTTCTCAAAAAAAAAATTAATTCCACAAAATTGTTAGTTAAAAATATGAAAAATTCAAATTTTCAAAGATTTAAATCTGAAAGCTTTCCAAAATTCAATTATTTCTAAAAATTTACGCTCTAATGCTTTTAAAATTCAATTATAATCTAAAATTTTAACTGAAATTCATTTTTAAATCAATGTTTTTGAGAAAATTCTAGTAGAATTCAATTATTTAAATAAAAAAATAACAATTCATTGAATAATAGCATTTTTCTTAAAATTGAATTCTTATAAAGAATTGTATCTATAAATTTTTAAATAACTGAATTCTTTTGACGAATTTTAATAAAATTTTTAAGAATCTTCAAGAAAATAATTAAAATTTTGCAATGAGTTTTATTTATGAAAATAATTGAATTCCTATGAAGAATTTGATTATTTATGAAAATAATTCAATCCCTGTAAAAAATTTGATTATTTATTGAAAATAATTAAATTAGTGCGAAGGAATTTATAAAAAAAATTTGTAAATAATTAAATTTCTGTAAAAGATATTGAAAATCATTGACTTGAGGGAAATTTTTGAAAATAATTGAATTTCGGAGATTAATTTAATTATTTTTGAAAATAATTGAAATTTTGCAATCATTTGTAATTTTTCTAAAATTATCCAATATTTATTAAAAAGAATTATAATTAATTAATAATAGATAAAAATAATTTTTGGTAAAATAATCGAATAGGCAAATTTGGGGTCCATTTATGCGCCTCAAAACTTCTATAAAATATTTTTTAAAGTTCACAATTCACAATAAAGAATAAAAGAATAAAAGAATTTTGACATAATGTCATTCGTGATTTATTGAACTTTATTTGTCAATCTATTCTTTATTGAAAGACAATAAGAAAAGGGTAATCAAATAAATTACCTCAATGCCTAAAGCATTAAGGCATCAATAATAATAATAGCTTTTTATCATTTTCAAAAGATAATATATAAAGAATATATGCTTATGAAATCAATTTCCATTCAATAAATCTTTAAAAAAAAAACAATTTTATGGCTGAAAATATCATCAGTGTATTAAAATATATTTAATCTCCATATGATATCTGAGACATTCATTTGATGCCCTCTCTGCAATTATTAAATCACTTGCCCGCAGGAATGTAAAATATAGATATTCAAATATTACTTCCCCTCTCCCGATGTGTATATATATGAATAATGAAACAATTCCACGTTTTAAACTAAATTCTTGTTGGCAAATGAAAATGTACAATTTATAAAATATATTACAAAACATAAACAAAAGAACATTAAACTGACACTTTTATTCATTTTCGAATCTAACATTATGAATTTATCATCATTATAATATTAGTTTGCAAAATCTATTGTCTATGAGTTTTTGTTTCTAATTGAATATTCAATAATATGCGCTAAAACGAGATATATATTTTGGGTAATCCAATGCATTATACTCGTTTTAGTAAAATTAACTGATAATGATGATGATATTATAAATATGATGATTGTAATTAGGTTTATTATAGATTGTTGAATTTCATATGTATATATGTGAAATCAAAATGCGGTGTACTGTTATCATTTTGTTCTCGGAGTAAAGAGAATTCCTCTCTAATCCAACTAGATTAATAATAATAATAGTAATAATAATATTAACTTCCAATTTGATAAAAATTAATTTCTCAGTTTGGAAATTAAACTGAAATTACGTTCAGATTACTTTGTTTTACTCTCTTACTTATTTATTTATTTAAATAGCAAATTTATTGTAATTATCTGCCTGAGAGAAAAATAATTTTTCTACGAAAAGAAATTTTTTTTCATTTAAAATTTATTTTGTTTGGTTTGATATTTATTTCTTTAAATTTCATATTTGTTTTCTCAAACTTCAAAATTTGTTTTATCGAATTTGAAATTTATTTCCTTAAAATTCAATTTATTGACTTAAAAACAAATCTATTTTTAACAAAACTAAAACTCGTCTGACTAAAAACGCCTCTTTTATTTAAAATTTCCTTTGAATATCAAATTTTTTTTAAACTTCAAAATTTATTTTCTCCAAATTGAAATTCATTCCCTTAAAACTCATAAATTTATTACCTTAAATTTAATCTACTTAAAAAAAAAATCCGTCTGACTACAAACGACTTTTTCTACTTAAAATTTTCTTAAAATTTCAAATTTTTTTTAAACTTCAAAATTTATTTTCTCCAAATTGAAATTCATTTCCTTAAAATTCATATTTATTACCTTAAAAGCAAATCTATTTAATCCCTCCTTCTCTGTCTGACTAAAAACGCCTCTTTCTACTTAACATTTCATTTGAATTTCAAATTTTTTTTAAACTTCAAAATTTATTTTCTCCAAATTGAAATTCATTCCCTTAAAATTCATAAATTTATTACCTTAAATTAAATCTACTAAAAAAAACAAAATCCGTCTGACTACAAACGACTGTTTCTACTTAAAATTTCCATAAAATTAAAAATTTTTTTTCTCAGACGTCAAAATTTTGATAAATTTCTTGTACAGACATCTTTTTTTCATTATTTTAAAGAAAATTCCTACTAAAAAAAATATTCTCTATTAAATAAATGCGATTTTGATCGTTAAAAAATACTTATTACACTTTTATTTCTACGGGGTAAAAAGGGCAAAAATTATTCACAAAAAATTAATACTTGCTTTAAAAAATGGAATTTAAAAACAGCGGAATTCCTTTGTCTGAACAAAAACTACTTGTTCCACTTTGGAAATCAACATCTACTTAACAAACACTTGTCTAAGTGAAAACGATTTTTTCTACTTACAGAGAAAATAAGGAGGTACAAAAAACAAGTTTTTTTGAAGTAAAAAGTTTCTGTCTGCGCAAAGAGGGCTTTTTCTACTTGAAAAAGAAGAGGCAGCTCTAGAAAGTAAATTTCATAATCTTAAAGAACTTAGTTTTTGAATAAAAGCTGAATTTATTTGCTATAAAATAAAACATTTGGATATAAAGTAAAATATTTAAAAATAAAATTAAAATATTTAAAATAAAGAAAAATTTTTTATACAAAGAGCCAAATAGTCTTTAAAAAAAAAAAATAGATAAAAAAAATTGTTCGCTTGAATGAAAAATTAGTCCTTTAGAAAAGAAATTTAAGTGAAAAAAATTCTGTGTCTACTTAAAAATAAAAATTTTTCAGAAAATAAAGTATATATACTTAAAATTTTCTTAAAATTTCAAATTTTTTTTAAACTTCAAAATTTATTTTTTCCAAATTGAAATTCATTTCATTAAAATTCATATATAGGAATATATTCCTTAAAAACGCATTGTCTGACCAAAAAATACTTTTACTACTTAAAAGCATTGAAGAAGAATAGTTATATTCAGAAGAAACATTTTTTTTCTATTGGAAGAATGAATATAGTTTTCTAAAGAAAAATTTGTGACTGACGAAAAATACTTTTTCTGATTTAAACAGAAAATTTTTATTAAGAAAGGCAATTTTTATACTCGAAAAAAAATTTGTCTTGTCTAAATAAAAATTACTTCTTCTACTCAAAAAGAGAATGTCAAATCTAAAACAAAATTTTTTAGTATGTAATAACGATTTGAGTGACAATGAAATACTATTTCTATGCAACACAAAAACGATTTTCCAAAAACCAGCTTTTTATTATCAAATTACTATTCGTCTGAACAAAAAGTGCTTTTTTCACTTAAATGGAAAAAATTACATTGAGAAATAGCTTTTTCTTCTTAAAAACTATTTGTCTGACTAAAAAATACTTTTTCTACTCAAAAAGATAATGTAACCTCCAAAAAAAAATTTTTAGTGTTAATTAACGGTTTGTCTCACTATAAAATGCTTTTTCTTCTTAAAATAACAATGATACTCTAAAAAACCGCTTTTTATTCTCAAATTATTATTCGTCTGAAGAAAAAGTGCTTTTTCCACTTAAATGTAATAAATTACATTAAAAAAACAGCCTATTGTTCTTAAAAATGATTTGTCTGACTAAAAATACTTTTTCTACTTAAAAAGAAACGTAACTCTAAATAATATATTTTTATTTTAGAAAAGTATTTTGTCTGACTAAAAAATACTTTTTCTACTCAAGACGGAAATGTAATTTTAAAAAATATCTTTTTTGTTTCAAAACAACATTTTGTCTGAACAAAAAATGCTTTTTCTACTCAAAACTAAAAAAATTTTTTAAACAGTTTTCTTTTTTAAATTGAGTCTGACTAAAAAATACTTTTTCTACTCAAAAAGGAAACGTAATTTTAAAAAATATCTTTTTGTTTCAGAACAACATTTTATCTGATCAAAAAATGCTTTTTCTACTCAAAACTAAATTTAAAAAAAAAATTTTTTTTCTAAATGGTTTGTCTGATTAAAAAATACTTTTTCTACTCTTAAAGAAAATGTTTCTCTAAAAAAACAGCAATTTTTTCCTAATGAACGATCTGTCTAAACAGAAAGTATTTTTCCTACTTAAATAGAAAATTTTATTCTGAAAAAACAGTTTTTTATTCTGTAACAAAGATGTGTCTGAACAAAAAGTGCTTTTTCTACTTAAAAAGAAAAATATACTTTAAAAAACATTTTTACACACCTAAAAACTCTTTGTTCGACCAAAAACTGCTTTTTCCACTGAAAATTAATATCTACTCAACAAAACTATTTTTTCTACTTCAAAAAAAAAGTTTCGTCTGACCTAATATTTACTTTTCTACTTAGAACCTAAAAGTTGCATTAATAAAAACCAAGTCCAATTTTACAAAAAAAATTTTCTTTAATTTTACAATTATATTTTACTTTCTCTATATTTTACAGTAATTAAAATTAATTTTAATCCTGAAATTATTATTCACTGACATTAAAAAAATTTTTTTTACGTTTTCAATATTCTAAAATAAATGAATAAAGAATAATATTTTATTTTAGCACGATCATGGTCACCATGAGCCAGGCATGCCGTTTGACTTCAATTACGCCGTAAAGGAAGACGCTTTTGGAAACGACTATTCGCATAACGCTATTAGCGATGGTGATGTTACACGTGGGGAATATCGAGTTCAATTACCGGATGGTCGCTTACAAATCGTTCGTTACACCGCAGATTGGAAACACGGTTTTTCAGCTCAAGTTTCCTATGAGGGAACGCCACGATTCGGCGCGCCAGGACCTGGTGGCAATTTCCAAGGATATTAAGAAAAAAAATTCTCTTCATAAAGAAAACAAAAAAAAATCCACTCGAAAAGTGCACTTTTATATTATATATATTTTTTACCTTGTGCTTCGATATTATTATATATTTTATTTTCGATTCCATTTTTGAAAAATGTAACACCATCTAAAAGCAAAAAAACCGTTCGCAAGAAATTTTTATCAAAAAAACATCTCAATTCAAAAACAAACTTTTAAACTTCAATAATTTAATCGATAATAGTAATTTCGCACCTTTTTTTATAAAAGCGACATTTACACTAGAAAAAACTTTTGCGAAATTTCAATTCGCTAATAAAATAAAATTTTGTAGAAATTGAAAAAACAATTTGATTTTATAATTTTTAAATTATGAGTTAATTTAAATTTTTATTTTATCTAAATCTAAATTTTATTTAATTAGCTAATTATAATTTCGCACTTTTCTCGCAATTTACAATATAAAATAAAGACAACGTAATATAATTTATTATAAATCTTTTTGTATAAAATATTTAATGAAAATGCAATTTGTGACAATTTTGGTTGCAAAATGTAAAACGTTCACTACTCTCAGGTAGATTATAAAGAACGAAAATCAAATACTCTTACATTTTTCTCAATTATTTCATATTTGTTTTAGTTTCATTTTTTTTTTATTTTTTATTTCACTATCCTCGCATTTATAAATGTTTATCTACTCCCATGTATATATGCTTTATTTTTCTATCATATTTTTTTATACTAGTGTTTTAAAAAAAATAAAAAAAGAACATTTAACCAAAATCCGTTTACACAAACTAACCTTGATATTATTATTATTATTATTATTATTATTAATAATTTTTGTGCAAATAAAGCCAATGATAAATGTTTTATTATTTTTTGTTGTACTTTTTTTATAATTAATACTTTTATATTTATCGTAAAAAAATGTTGGTCTCATCTGTTTCTTACACATACTTTAGACAAAATTTTGTAGCGTTAGTTTTTAACCGAAAAAAATAATAGAAAAATAAATAACTAATCCCAACAAAAAAAAATTGAAAATATATATCTAAACCTTAAATTTTTCGTTTTTAATGTTAAATTTCGTATTAAAAACGACAAAAAAAACGACATTCACTGAATTTTTTTTACATATCAAAAGTTATAGAAAAAATTTGTATAAAATCAATTAAGAATTATTTTCAATAAAAAGATATAAAAAAAAATATGAAAATAATTCACAATTATTTTTTGGAATGAAAAAAAATAGACAGTAGAATATTATCAATTGACGGTACAATGGATAATAAGTAATTAAGACTAATAAGAAATTTAATTACTCTCCACATAGAAAATCGCAATTAATTCATAATACATTCTATCTATTGATACGTAATAAAAGATTAAAAGCACAATTGAAGATAAAATATTTTTCTATTAAAATATTTAAAATTTTTCTAAACCTGTACCACCAGATTTTAATTTATCACTTTATCGAAAGAGAAAAATAATCATCTTTTCTATAAAGAAAAATATAAAAGCGCTTTATTTTCATCAGAATCATAAAACATTTATTAAATTTTTTTTTAACAAATCTCATAAAAATCAAAAAGAAAAATTATTATTATTAAATTTCACGCAATTTAAATGAAATATGTAGAATAGCGCACAAAAGAAAAAACGATGAATAAAAAAAGTAGTGAAAAAAGAAATTCACTGAATATTTTAAATAGTTTTACTTGCTATTCTTATAATATAAAAGAAGGCAGAGAGAAGAAGCATTTAAAAGAAATAAACTATTGTTTCAAATCATATTTATATGCCAAACAATGGAATTGTTCTTTATATACTGAAATCTATTATAATATTTTTAAACTCGTTGAACTTCAACTCAATAATTTATTATTTTCCATAAGCTTTTATTTATTTTAACATTCTTTAGTTTGAGAATATAGTGACAAATAATGTAATCAAATTAGATTCAATTTAAACTTTTTTCTCTTGAATGTGAATAAATTTTTTTTTTAAATCGTCTCAATTTTATATTTAATCATACTAAATTTATTTTTATTAATTATAAATTATTCAAAACAAAAAATTGCGTTTGAACTTTTCTTCAATTTTCTAAAATTAATTAGTTAAAACTCGTCCACTAATTTAAATTAGAAATTTTTTTTTATTTTTCACTAAAACTTTAAAAAAAACTACTAGGAAATCAATAAATAAAATAAATACCAGAAAATAGCCTTTGAACTTTTTCAATTTTCTAAAATTAATTAGTTAAAACTCGTCCACTAATTTGAATAAAAAAAAATTTTATTTTTATTTTTCACTAAAACTTTTTAAAAAACTACTAATCAATAGATGAATTAATAACAGAAAATCTCCTTTGTACTTTTTTCACTTTTCTAAAATTAATTACTTAAAACTCGTCCAGTAATTGGAATTAAAAATTTTTTTTTTTAATTTCTTCACTACAACTTTAGAAAAACTAATAATTAATCGATGAATAAGTATTTAATTAATTAATGATAAATAATTGCTGAATTAAATTATAATAAATTAGTTGTATAAATTAGTAATATGAATAAATAGACAAGTATCAAAGAAATACTAAATAAGAAAGTAAAATTTTAGTAAAAATTAGTTTATTTTTTTGCTAATTTTAATTAGTGGACGTCGAATTCTAATGATATTTAGAAGGAAAGAAAAAAAATGTATTCTCTAAGTTTCATTATTAGTTAAAAATATGTAATTGTTAGTAAAATCTTGTTTGATTTTACATTTTATTAATATAAGTAACGATTATTAAAAAATAACTATTCACTAGTAAAAAATAATAAATAATTAATAATTAAAATTAGTAATTAATTAAAATAATAATTTTCACTAAAAACTCAGTTTTAGTTCACAAAAAATTTCAAAAATTGTCAATAAAGAAAAATTTATTCAGTTACTAGAGATTTTTGTTGGTTTTATTATGTTACTAAATAATTTCTAATAATATTACAATTGACTTTTACTGTAAATTAGCAGGTTTTAGTTTAGTTTTTAATTTAATTGTTAATTAGTTCTATTCTAATTTAATAAATAGTAGAAATAATAATTATTCCTTCTTTACTAAATCATTAGTATAAATATTATCAATTAGTCAAAATATTACTAATATTAATATTAGAAATAGAACTAATTAGTAATTTTTTCCTAAATAATTAATAGAAATATTACAATTAAATTCAACTGTTAATTAATTTAGATCAAATATTGTTAGTAATAAATAATAAAAATATTACTAAATAGTTATTTTCTATTAATTTAGTGGAAGAAATGTTACTAATTAGTAAGATACTACTAATTAGTAAAAATATTACTTATTAATAATATTTTACTAAGTAATTTGTATAAATATTACTAATTAGTAGGATTATTACTAATTTGTATAATAATTTCTAATTAATAGGAATATTACTAATTAGTAACATTTCTACTAATAAATAAATGAAAAATAATTAATTAGTAATATTTTTAATACTTATTGTTAGTAATATTTCAACTAATTAGTAATATTCCTACTAATTAGTAATATTTATACAAATTATTTAGTAAAATGTTATTAATAAGTAACATTTTTACTAATTTGTAGGAATATTACTAATTAGTTAAAAAAATTACTAACAATAAGTAGTAAAAATATTACTAATTAATTATTTTTTATTTATTTATTAGTAGAAATGTTACTAATTAGTAGGAATATTACTAATTAGTAATTTTTTACTAAATAATTAGTAGAAATATAATTATTGAATTTAACTAATAATTAGTTGCTTATATTAAAAAAAAAATGAAAGATATATTGCTATTCGAATCAGTAACTGACTCTTTGCTACCAAATTATTTATTTCTATAGCGAATTCGAACTTAAAGAGTAGAAACATATTTTCATCAATATCATACGAACAATATTCTTCTTCTAATAAATTATTCCTAATTAAAAACACTACTAATGTAAAATGCCAGAAAATTTTCCTCTAAATACGAAAATACGTATTTCTGGGTGCGCTATAAAATCTCTACTATAAATTACATGCAATTTTTTATAAAGTACTTTTACAAAGTACAACCCATTTGTATTGTAAAGATCATTGGATAAAATGTATTACTTGGTATTTCTTATTTTGGTGTAATACACCCGATTCTCAAAGTGCAAATATTATTGCACCATATAATATATTTTACTCGGAATTTCTCGTTTAAGTAAAAAAAAAATGGAAGAAAGAAAGAAAGAAAAGATGAGAATAAATGCTGGTGCCCTTAGCACTTATAATACGTATAATATAGATTAAATTTTATCAGATCCAATTGGTCATGGGATCAGCAAACTGTTTTCCACCACAAGTAAATTACATCAATCATTGTAATCGGATGTTTTGACGAAAAACAAGGTGGAGAAATAAACTAATCACGACTTTATACTCTTGCTTTTCTTTAATACTCAAATATCAACCGTGAGAATCAAGATGTTATAATTCTCTCAAAGAGAGCAATGGAACTTTGCTTTTTTCTTTTGCTCTCCTCTTTTTGTGTGTGTGTAACTCGTCACCATTGTGAATAAATTAATGTTCAATTGTATTAAACCTACTACTGTGCTATTTACTATTTGAAATTTTATTTCAAATATAGAGAGTAATAATTGTTTTGATTTCGAAAATTTTTGATTTATGGAAATTGTATTAGGTTTCGAAATTTTTAAATGGAAATTATTTTTATTTTGCATATTGTCTAATGGAAATTGTTTTGTTTTCGAAAATTTTTAAATTGAAACTGTTTTGATTTTGAAAATTTTTTGAAAATTATTTTATTTTGAAAATTTACAAATGGAAGTTGTTTTAATTTGGAAAATTTTCAACTGGAAATTTTTCGTCTATTTTGAAAAAATTTTGATAGGAAAAGAAAAATCGAGTTTTACTCATAAAATCGAAGAAGCAAAAATAATATTCAATTAAACGTCTATCCTTAGCGTCTGATTAGGAATATTTCAATTCAAAATATTGTTAAAAAATTTTAAATGTATTAGTAAATCTTACATTAAGAATTTTTCTAAACAAAAAAAAGTTTACAATTAAAAAAATAATTTTTAGCTTTTAGAATTGTGTTGACAATTAAAATATGCAAATCCTCAGCTTTTGTAATTAACTTTCAGCTTTAGAATTAATTATTCGTTTTTGAATTTTATTTTTATCCACTATTATAATTTGAAATTAATTTTAACTTCGGAAAATTAATTATTAGCTTTGGAATTAATTTTTAACTTCAGAA